AATGAAGAGGCGAATCCGAGAACCAACAAATTAAATTGGTGTGGCCTTATACTGGAATTTATACAGTTTCCCTTAGTGCTTCATGCATTTTTCCATACATTTATAACTCATACAGTTTTTCATTGACACTCGTACATTTTCATATACATGTAGTGCTATATGCATTTTTAAAAAAGCAAAATTTGTCTGATTTCTTAATCTTAGGCAGTCTGGTAAGTTCAAGTCAGAGGTAGGATACAGAATGAGTGATTACCATGGTTCAGGCTCTGGGAAAAGTACACCTTTAGCCAACATCTTGTCTTCATGTCTGTTGAGTTGAGTCAGGACCCGAGCTGCTTCCTGGGAGTGTATTAGATACAATCAGAATGCTGCTTTCTTTATTCAATTGGCCTCAAGGCCACTTCAAAGTTACATACATTGTAGTTATCAAAATGGGAACATACATGTAGCTGCACTGGTGTGCCTAAGGCCGCACCGAAATAATTTTATGGATGACATCCTCTGAAGACCCCCAAACTAGTGTATGTGGGCGAATAAAAAAAATACTGGCCAAAAATAAAAATGCTACTAAACCACAGGAATACAAAGCTGGTATTGTGAATTTGCGGCAGTACATAGCGACATACGACATGCTGGCTTTTTGCGGAATTTCTAAATCAGCACTGTACGTATGTACTGAGTTCTTGAGTCGTGGAACTTCTGTAGCCTGGGTGCTGTCCTCCAGAGTTACCGCCGGCTCCGTATTGCCGTAACTACCAAGGACTACCCAGGCCTAGAGCCAGGCCAGAGCCTCGGAGGACGTGATCTTTTTTCATTTTTTTAGAACAATGTGCTCGCGGATGTCATCCATAAAATTAAATTGGTGTGGCCTAGCCTTAAAGATTTAAGTGTACAGGAAACATTTAGAATGTAGATTAAAGTTAAACCATGTAGAATAAAGTTAAACCAAATAAAGTTAAAACTCTTATTGCCTCCCTTTGGAGCTTGAATATAAATGATCAATCGAACACATTAAAGTTAAACTCACATGCATGAGACTGTAGTAGTTGGCCTTGCCAGTGTAGAATAAAAAGCTGAACGGTCGACCGTCTTTTCCCCATTGTAGGGCTGCAAAAATAGAAGATCCCATTTATACACTTAGTCTAGTTGTATAGACTATGTACATTGTACATTTAGGAAAGGGGATGGGGGAGACGTTATGAATAATATAACATTATATTTAAGTCCTATGTAGATTTAATGTACACACATACTGAGCTGTCATAACATTTGATATGGGACTTTTGGCCCATATAGCTGTATCACACAGGTACAGGGTTCTATTTCAATAAATTCTCAATTTAGTTATCACAAGGAACTTCAAACAAGTCCTTGGTTATCACATGCATCGTCTTCCAAATGTTCCATACAAAATGTAGAATAATCTAAATGCATTTTGCATGCATTGAGTGCACTGCTTTTGAAAATTCAGACTTTCAACTTGATGTAATTTTTTGTTCATACACACTAAAGTTACCCCTTTGGCCTTTGGGTGATTGGACCCAGATACATGCACACTGTGTTGTATTCTGTATCCAATACTTGGAGCAGATAGGCAAAACAACAACCCACATACATTTAAAAAATCCAAAACAAGACCTGATAATAACAAATGAAAGACACTAAAAGATACCTTTATTGATCTTGTATGTTATTCTGAAAATATCAAGACTTAGTGTTAAAAAGGGTTAAACAAGGAAATAGAGAAACCTGGTCTGACCTTTCTGTTTTGGAAATATTTGATCTGGAGGCTGAAGAGGAAAAAAAAGTGAAACATTAGAACATGGTCATTATGATCAAATCCAAAGGATTTTGATATACATTGTGTACATGACAAACATTCACGACATGTAGGGCATTACCTTTAATACTTGGCTTCCATTGCCACATGCAATTGACCAGTACCATTCTGAGAACAGGGTTCCAACTTCTGCTGATAACCACCACTTTAGTTAAGAGTCATCCTTAAACATTGAGCATCATATTGATTTATTCACAATGCATAAACCTTATTAGGAATTACCATTACCTTAAGCATGGGTCTGGCCAGCTTGTCATGCAATCCGGAAGGAAGAAGGTAGCTGATGGCTCTCTGTTGATACAAAATGTAAGATAAAACATTTGAGTGACAGACTTCTACATTGTATATAGCATACAAAAACAGTTTTCACATACTGTTTACCCTAAGAAGGCTCTTGTTCCAGCTACAATATCCTCTCTTTAATTTTGCAACATTAAAAAAAAATGTCTTTAATAACCCACATGTTCATCCTGTGTGAATGTTTCTGATAAGCCACATCTACATCCTCATGTTTAAATTTGTCTGGTAACACCCATCTATATCCTTCTATGTAAATGTTTCTGCTAACCTACATCAATGTCTCTGATAACCCACATGTACATCCTCCTGTGTGAATGTTTCTCATAACCCACATCTACATCCTCCTGAGTAAATGTTTCTGATAACCCACATGTACATCCTCCTTTGTGAATGTTTCTCATAACCCACATGTACATCAATGTTTCTGATAACCCTCATCTACATCCTCCTTTGTGAATGTTTCTGATAACCCACATCTACATCCTCCTTTGTGAATGTTTCTCATAACCCACATGTACATCAATGTTTCTGATAACCCACATCTACATCCTCCTTTGTGAATGTTTCTGATAACCCACATGTACATCCTCCTTTGTGAATGTTTCTCATAACCCACATGTACATCAATGTTTCTGATAACCCTCATCTACATCCTCCTTTGTGAATGTTTCTGATAACCCACATCTACATCCTCATGAGTGAATGTTTCTGATAACCCACATCTACATCCTCATGAGTGAATGTTTCTGATAACCCACATCTACATCCTCCTGATGAGTGAATGTTTCTGATTACCCACATCTACATCCTCCTGAGTAAATGTTTCTAAAAACCCACATCTACATCCTCCTGAGTGAATGTTTCTGATAACCCACATATATATCCTCCTGAGTAAATGTTTCTGATAACCCACATCTACATCCTCCTGAGTAAATGTTTCTGATAACCCACATCTACATCCTCCTGAGTAAATGTTTCTGATAACCCACATCTACATCCTCCTGGGTAAATGTTTCTGATAACCCACATCTACATCCTCCTGAGTGAATGTTTCTGATAACCCACATCTACATCCTCCTGAGTGAATGTTTCTGGATCCTCCCCCATCATGTTTGCGAGGTGTCTCCTCCCCAGCTGGTACTCCTGGTCCATCTCCTGTAGAAACTCGTCAGTGTAAGGCTTGTCTGACAGACTGCTGGTGGCTTTGATCTGCTGCCGTTGCCTAGCAACTGAGATTGATAGGCATCTGTGGGGCTGCTGGAAATGGAGACAACAAAAAAACATATCCAATTTGATGTAATTAGTGACATATCATCACTGCACTGATATGCTGCTGCAGTTGTGCATTTATATATGTAATTATGTTTCCAAATGTTTTAAAAAGAGAGAAGAAAGGGCAACTAACAGTAGATGATAGGTACTGTAAGTCTACAAATTTCCGCGGTATATTTAGATTCGCGGAATTCGCGGGGACCTTTGTACCGCGAATCTATTTCCCCGCGAATATGTTTTGCGTAAGTGCGCCCCCTCCCCACATGCATTCACAACGGTAAGCGAAACACAAACACACGCGATTCACAAATCACTGCAAATCAACTTTATTCTTAGCAAATGTTGAGTACCGAATTTTTTTTAAGTTATACTGATGTCAAAAAATTATAATATTATGAGACACCGAATCGCGATACTGCGGCACTGGCCGTGTCAACCGTGTACCGCCGAAAAAAATCTATGCGTGCAGAGCGCCGGCCATGCGCGCCCGGGCGCTTGAAAATTGCGGGAACATCGGGCATATCTACAAGTATTTTTATGAAAAATATAACGGCTGGTACCTGGGAAATGTTAGTTGGTTATCTTTTGCGCCCTGCTTTGCGGGCGTTTTTTTCTTCTTGTTGTTTTGCTGGATAGAAACGCTCACCGTGGGCCTACAAAATCGAAGGCGACCTTTGCATATTTCCGGGTTCAAAATCTCGTCGAAGACGGCAGAAATTTGCTTAGTAATATATATATTCTTTCGATTATGCATTTCTTCGCTAGAGTATCGATGTGTAGTCGTGGAAAATAGCATTTTAGCGCTTATTTCCGAACAAAGAAAATTGTTTACACGTGCGTCAGATCGATTGTCAGCTTTACCGCCGGCAGTCTCGCGCGGTGCACGAAACAAATTTTTGCGCCGCGTTTTAGGAGATAAATGCTGGAACACGAACCTTTTATTATTTTAAATATACACTTTACAAATTTTTCTTTGAAAAATAGCCAAGGAGACATCGCGAATCTAAAAATACCGCGGATTGTCCATTTTCCCGAAACCGCGAACTTTAGGCCCCGCGAATCTAAAGAGACTTACAGTAGTATATAGTATTGGTGTAATGTATAGATTCCTAGCACTTTGCATTAGAATATAGCATTCCAACTTATGAAATACTCATGTTTTGCATACTGTATTATCCTCTTGTGCATTTAGCCCATCTGGGCAAGAACATGCAATAAAGATTAATATTCATTATACACACAGTTTATGTCTGATATTTTTGTGGGAATTTGTTTTGACATCAAATTAGGACTATATAACTTGTTGTATTGACTGGGCCAGCTAAATGTGTCAATCACAGTATTTCTTTGTTATTTATGTGCATTTAAAAAGTAACACAGTGTTAATTTGTTTAGTCATCACTATTAGCAGCAGTATAGTAGTACAATTATTCAATACGTTGATGAAGGTTAGACATCCAGGTAAACAATACTCATTGGAAATTCAAACTCTACTACTGGATAGATTATAGAGATAGTATCCGGAGCTCATACATGCGTTATCAAGTTCTGTTAGTTCATTTGTGACGCTGAAGAAGAGTGGTGGATGTCACTTGAAACGTCCGGATATTATCTCTGTAATTTATCCAGTAGTAGAATTTAAATTTCCTATGAATTATTAAAATACTTCTTTTACTTGCTGTCTCAAAATCAAATATAGCCCATATAACATTCATGGGGTGCTGCATTGAAATGTTTACAATGTCTACCCCGATATCTATTATATGTCCCTAAGTTTACCTAGCTTCCTAACACCCCTACCTTAAAATCTGGAAATTATGAACCTGGAACCCAAAATCCCCTTCACTACTAGTAGCCTCAACACTACAGTTTGTAATAATTTCTCCTCAATTCGGTCGTATTGCCTGCTATTAGGCAGCCCCAAACAGGGACTTATATTGTGGACATGTTTTTAAATTAAAATTTGATTCAAAAGACATCTTGCTCTGGCAAAGATACACAAATATCCAGGCCTGAGGCCTAAAAAATTCATTTGGTACTCTTGGTGAATAATATTTGTTTTATGAATATGACGATGTTTTCCATACTGTCTAAAATTATGCAGCCGCTGATTCAAGTTCAGTTACTTTGCAAGTGAAGGAATAAACTATTTTATCAAGTCGTTCTTGCTGAAAGTCTATTGGATATGCATATATGGTGACAGTGACAAGCCCCCCTCCCCCTCCCTCTCTCTAATTTGTCATCATTGAATGCAGCAAACTTCAACCTCTTAACACAATTACCAAGATGTTAATTTTACCTTAATTTTCAGCATGAACTGTTGTCCATTCCCGCCATTGTCTCTTAGAAGGGAGGAAGAAAATCGCAAAAACAAACGACCGCAAGACGTGAGCGGTCCAGCCATGGGCGCCGCCATCTTGGGTTTAGGAGGTATGTAGGCTCCATGACCTCTGACCTACTCACCGGCTGATAGCTAGCCTCCTGTGCAGGCTCCGGGGTGGGTGGGAATTTTGGTACAGCTTTCCGCCCACGGACGGAAGGAAACCTTCTCTCGGCGGCTGGTTGTAGGACGGCCGGCTATTAAGATATCGCGTTAAAAACTCTTCCAAAAGCTGTATCAAAATTCTCACCTGCCCCGGGGTCCAAAATCTAATCATTTGCAGATCTCATCAAGACCTACCCACCTACCACTGAGTATCAAGACAATCCAGTTTAAGCCCTCTCAAGTTATCGTGTCTACAGACGGACGGACACTCACACACATACACGAACGCCTCTGAAAACATAACCTTCTTGGCGAAGGTAATGAAGTGATATAGTGTATGGAAATGAGGATTTTATTTGCGTAAGTAATGAATAAAATTCGTCCGACGTCCGACGGTTAACACATCATTTGACAGAGGAATTTTGTTTTTAATTTTGGTTAAAATAATTTGTAGCTTGTTATAGTGTTGTGCTTACTTAAAAATGACTTTATTTAAATATAGCTTTGCAGTTACTAGTATCTTGGTGAAAATTAGAATAACAAGCTTGATGTTGCAAAAAAAAACAGTTACTCAAGCAACTGGATATGATTTTAACACATCATTTGACAGAGGAATTTTGTTTTTAATTTTGGTTAAAATAATTTTTCAAAATCATATCCAGTTGCTTGAGTAACTGTTTTTTTTGGCTATCGTATTACCTGGATGTCTAACCTTCATCGACGAAGCTTGATGTTGCATTTTGACCTACAGTTCACCATTGCGTTATTCTGGACATGAAACAGGTGCGATATTCTCACCCTTTTGATATAAAGCCAAGTCGAATTAATATCATGTACTCAGTGAGATCAAGGGGG